CATCCCCTCTGTAGGCAAACACCCATCTGTCATATGCATAAGGCTTAATGAGCATGGATCCTAAATTTCCATCCTGATGCATTACAGCTAATCTTCTAGCTGAACTGTCAGCATCCCCAACACAAAGGCGTGCACACATGCAAACACATGGGGCAGCATGGTATAATGGGATGAATCCAGGAATTCAGGCTTTGAGTCTTGGTTCCATCTTTTACTAGCTATGTAGTCTTGGGTCCTTCACTTCTCTGAGTTTTGGACTCCTCATCTGTAAAATGAGGGTGGAGAGATCACCTAATAGGGTCATTGAGATGAGCCAGTTCGTGGAACACAAGCCATCCAAATGCTCCTGCCCCTGTGGTCTGCTCATGGGATCATCCCTTGGAATGCTGTGTCATTTCCCATCTTCCCCAGAGTGGAGGAGGTCAAGCCTACAGGCCTGGGGCGGGGGCATTACCAAGAATATCCAGCCAGGAGGGTCTTGTCTGTGGGGGGTGAGGCCAAGCCCAGGAACAGCTCCAGAGGAACCAGTGAAAGAGTCCAGAAAGGGGTCAGAGGGCATGGGGCTGTTTATCAAACAGGCCGAAAGATGATTCATTTCCGCTGCTGTAGATGAAAAAAGGGACAGAAATAAATCTCCCAGGAGAAATATGGGAAAGGCAACTAAGGCAGAGATGGGGGAAGAAGAGGGGACAGGCCAAGGACATCATCTCTCCGCTGCCAATGCCAGGGCAGAACTGGGATGGTGGGATAGGAGCACCTCTGTCCCCCTGGATGGCTCTCCTCTGCACCTTGAGCCTCAGCAACCCCTCCCTGGAGGTCCAAAAAAAAAAAAAAGCCACCTCAAGGGAAAATATAGCAACTCCTTCATGGTGAGAAGCTAGCGATCAAGATGTTTGTTTAGTTCCCTCTTTTCCTGTCCTTATTTATGGACGTTTCTATGTAACAGAATTTCAAGGCTTAAGATGGAATTTCAGCCATCCTCAGAGGAAAAAAAGAAAAAGCACTATTATATTTTCTTGGTGATGGGTTTCTTTCCTTTTATCTTTCTTTGGGGAGAGGGTTTGGGAGCAAGGGATGACGCCAATCGGTACTAAGTATTTTACAGAGAGTTTCACGCCACTTGATCATGGAACAGCCCTCTGAGGGCAGCGTGCTATCCTCATGAAAGATAAGGGGTTGCGGTACCCAAGGTCACAGAGCCAAGCAAGGGTGAGAACAGGAGCCTACACGCAGGTCTCCTATTGCAGCAGCCGCCGCCCTCATGTCCGGAAACCTCACAGGGCAAGCCTGTTCTCCCTTGAGTCCTCCTCGCATTGCTGGATTTTTCTCCCTACTTTTTAAAAACTTGTGACAAATCTCTTTAGCATAAAATTGGCCATTTTAACCATTTTAAAGTGCACAATTAAGTGGCATTCATTACATTCACAGTATTGTGCAACCATCACCACTATCATTTCCAAGCCTTTTTCATCGCCTCAAATAAAGACTGTAGCCCGGCTGGTGGGGATTGGACACGATCAAAGTCAAGCTCATCTGTGTTCAGGAAACCAGAAGCTGCGCCTAAAGCAAGAACTCTGGGCCAAGGCTGTCCTGACCGTGGGACACCGAGCATTGGGATCCGGGCGGGCGGGCGGGAACCGAGGGGCAGAGTGGGCGGAGCCGGCCCCCCTGGTGGGCTAAGTCCATACAGCATCTGCTGGGGTGAGGGGGCAGTCGGGCCCTGGGACGGAGTGTTCTCGGTAAACAAACCTCCCGGGGTCCTCAGAGCACAAACATCCGCCCTGCTCCCGGGATCCCAGGATCCCTGCCGCTGTTGAGCTGAGCCCAGTCGCAGCAGGGCTGGAAGAGAGCCTTCGGCCGCCTTCCCAGCCCTGAACTGGGCTCAGAGTCCTCGCGGAAAAGACCAGAGCCCCTTGGAAACTAGTAATAATGTTTATTAGTAATAGAATTTTTTTAAAAAACCTATAATATAGGAAATTTGGAAAATACAATAAAGAAGAAAGAAAGAAAGCACCACCCCCAATTATGGCCACCGTGTATTCAGGGATTGCTGTATGTCAGGCCCCTTATAGGCATCATTCCATTTAGTCTTCAGTACAACCCTGAGGTAGAGACTGTTTATTTTATGCCCATTTTACAGATGAGACAACTGAGGCCCTGAGAGAGAATTTAAGTAAATTTGTCCAAGGTTACACAACTGAGATGTTACATACTGGAGCTGGGATTTGAACCCAAGTTCGCCTTGGGCCCTTTTTAACAAAATATTAGGTTGGAATGTATAAAGTTGACTTTTAAAAAATAGTAGTGTAATTAGGGGGAGTGGTATAGCTCAGTGGTAGAGCACATGCTTAGCATGCAGGGAAGTCCTGGGTTCAATCCCCAGTACCTTTATTGAAAAAAAAAATTAGTAATATCATGCAGTTCAATCTAATGCTTTTTAGTAGTCAGTCCTACCACTGATCTTCATTAATATTTTCAAGAATTTCCTTTTGGTCTTTTATACATCTTTTTATAATTTGGACCATACAATTTTAAATACTTTTAAAACTTTCTTTACATTATATCTCTTATATTACTAGATGCTTCAACATCATTTTAATAGCTATGTCCATAGGATATATATATTTCCTTGTTGGACACATAGCTTGTGACCAATTTTTCGCTGTTATGCGTAATACTGTAAAGAGCATCTCTGTGTTCAAAGCCTTTTCCTTCTGTAACAGTGTATTTTCAAGCACCAAACTCTCCTGTAGTTGCTCACTGGTCTCTCTCACTCATCTAAGCTGAAGACAGGGTCAGGTTAGTGTGTCTTTTGTTGTATCCCCAGCACCTGCCTGCCGCAGAACAGAGATTCGATAAATATTTGTGGAATAAATGAAGAAAGGAGTTTGGTTTAAAATGTTTTTATAATAAACAACAAAGTGAGAGGACCTGAGATCACAAAAGTGTTTTGTTTTTGGAAGGAAAGCAAGAACAGGCAGGCATGTGTCACAGTGGAAAGTCAAGCAGTCATGCAGAAGACTCTGATGGAGTTTATCTCTTTAATCGCATATTCAATATCACTTTGTCTTCGCCAAGAACCAGTCCAGAGCCCAGAGGGACTCCCATTGCCACACGGTCAATGTGAGTGCTCATTTACTCTTTAAACATTAATGGGGCACAGACGTATGTGCCAGGCAGCGTTATGGGTACTGAGGATATAGCTATAAACAAAGCAAACCATTCTGCCTTCATGTAGCTCACCTTCAAGTCAGAGAGACAGAAAATGCTATAAAAGGAAAACACATTGAGTAAGGGGAGAGAGAGGGATGGAGTTTGCATTCTAAATAACATGCAAGCACCCAACAGAGATCCGGAGGGTTGAAAAATTCAGTTGTGAAATCCGAAGAGCCTGGATAAACACAAGACAGTTGAGTGCTTACTTTTTATATCATTACCTGGAGCACTGAGTGACAAGTCAGAGGGTTAGTCACAACGACAATTGAAGGGATTAGGGTGACATCTGTTGGAAATTTGATTTGAACGTTGGGGTGCCACTCTATTGAACTAGAGTTTTAAAATTGGGTTCAAAAGTCTAAAACTCCTATTTCCATTAGTTATATCTAAATCAATCACATAAAGGATTCTTTTATAAAGTGTCTGGGTATTTTTCCTCTTGAGTTCATTTCTTAATTACATTTCATCTCAATCTATGTAAGCAATTGTCCAATTAATACCATCTCTCCCTGTATAACATTTCCTATCTCACCAATCATTTACATAATTTCATTTTTACAACTACCTTGTAAGAGTGGTACTGTGAGCTTTATTTTGCAAAAGAGAAGACTGTTCTTGCAGAAGTAAACTGAGATACACATTCATAATCTGTTGCAGGGTTAGAGTATGAGCCCAATTCTGATTCTGGTTCTCAATTTGTGTATGCTGTTTTTATTTTGATCATTTGCCTAATTTAATTGTATGCAATACTGAAAAAAAAAAAACTAAAAGGTAAGATAAAAGTAGGGGAAAAAAAGTCCAAAACTTATCCCAGACTAAGGACCAATTATATTTCCTCCACAAAGTAACACTGGGGAAGGGGGAGCAATCAAACAGATACATCGTGTGCTCCCAGCCTGAATAATCTATCCAAGAATTGGCAGCCCTTTCGTGGGAGTCCTGGCTACGTTTGAGGAGGTGAGCATCTTTTAGGACTAAATAAAGTAGATCACATCACTAAGTAAACATTCAAATCTAATGCAATGCCTATCTAATTCAAACGACTTGGAGAATTAAACTTTTAAGGAAATTTTCATTGAAGTGTATCAAACATACAGAAAAGTGCCCAAATAATGAGCCCACAGTTTGATGAATTTTCATCACCTTGAATCATTTTGTCTGCTTTTGTACTTTACATCAGTATGTGGCTTCTTTCGCTCAACATTATGTTTGTGAGATTCATCCTCGTATTTGATTCATCCATTCCAATACATCCATTGCTGGGTGTAGCTGAAGTTCGTTCAACAGATACATAGACTTTTGACATTTGAGATATTT